CAAAATATAAAATTTAAATATATGATTCTTTTTCAAATTAAATTTTATGTTCAAACCTGGATATTCGATTCAAAATTTTGAATATCCAAAAAACTAGATATTGGGTTTTTTGAATCAAATATGGATAATCATTTTAGTGATCCAAATTTTTAATATGAAAATTTCGAATAAGATAATACCTAAAATTCTAAAGTGCACACCCATTACCACCTGCATATAAAATGATTAACTCAATTTACTAACCCAACTTAATCACACACACATATACATATATATATATACACACATATATATATTGAAGAATATGCTTACACTATGTAAAATTAATAAGTTTTAAGCTAATTCATAGTCATTGATTTAAATCAATAAATGACTTAATTAAAATTTATAACTCATAAATAAATATCTTTTAACTCACAGTAAAACAATCTATTTTCCTCAATTTTAAATCCTAAACACTAAACTTTAAATATCAAATCACAAACCCTAAATCACAAACACTAAATCTTAAAACTTAAATCTTAAACCCTAAATACTAAATCTTAACCTTAAAAAGAAAATTATTATTTTAATGCGAGTGAAAGAAATATTTATTTATGAATTATAAATTTTAATTAAATCTAAGTCATTTATTTATTTAAATCTAATGGTTATAAATTGGCGTAAAACTTATTAGTTTTACATATATATAAATATGATCCAATTACATAGTGTAAAACTAAAAATCTTTACACTATTTTTAGGATCGTTGGATGAGGAGAAATGAGAAGAAATTCATTAGAAAAAAAATAAGGAGTTAATATTGGTCTTTAATTTTCTTTCATCCAATGATCCGAAAATAGTAAACCTAAAAGTTTTACACTAGGTGTAAGGGATCTTAACCATATATGTAACACCCTACACCATTACAATACATAGTCGACCGCTGAAAGTGCCACACAGAACCACTAGAGTAGTTAACCAAAATTTTTCTTTAACACACTCAATGGAAAACATACATTTGAAAATGCTCATAAATAAATAAACATTAACCTTTATACAAATAAGTTCACAATCAGGATCTCCCTAAAATAAATACTTCCAAAATATACAGACCATTCATTTAAAACAAGTTATGACTTGATTATACACAATAGTGTTACAAATATACATGCCTTCGAAGAAGAAACTAAGACGTACTCTATTCTGAAAGTCTGGGTCTGGATCTAATATGCACAAAAGTTCTTCAAGTGATCCACCTAAGAATCTGTGTAAGGAAATAAATTCCAAACTTTGAGCTAACTAGCCCATTGCCATACTAACAACTAAGTCATACTAAAAGGGGCTCATTACATGATCAGCCAGCTGATAAAATAATATAGTGAGTATACTCGCATACTCACTCTCTACACTATAGTAGACATCATGGTGATACTGAGGGATTTCTGTATCTCGGAGCTCACGCACCCATCTAATCTACTCAGGATGAGTGTCCGGAATCTCTACATCGATCACAACACCCTCGACTAGTTCACCCCTTGCGAGTGTCGGACATTGCTCCCTAGCTAATCAGTTTAAAGTTCCTTGTGCACTACCTATGGATATCCGGACTGAATCTATACTTTTGACTCCGTTATCTTTTCTAAAGGAATTTGGTGTTCGAATCGTTTCCCGATCATCAAACAAGGCTAGTTTTATGTAGCCCTAATTTATATAGTTTCTAGTTGTAATCAGCATTATTTCATTCTCACTTATCATTTTATTAGAAATTATCTCATTTAAAAGCATACTATAAGTCCACGGCCATCTATGTACCTTTATAGGCCTATTTAACAAAAATCAAGCAGGGATTTTGAAACCTACTGTCGGAGTTTCTAAACCTCTGAATAATTTTTTAAGGTTTGGGTAAGGGGATTCAAAACCTATTGTGGAGGCTTCGAAATCTTTCTAAAAATTTACATTATGAAAAAAATGTTTCGAAACCTCTTCTGCAACTTCAAATTTTTACTCATTTAAACACTTCAAAACCCACACAAAACCATTCCAACATTTTCAATTGACCAATATAAGTTATACATGATAGAATGGATCATAAAGGGGCTTTAAACAAGTTAAATAACACCATAAGCTACAATCTACCATGAAACTAACCCAACAAGCTTCAATCATAACTCTCAAGCTAAAACTCATTTCTAATGACACACAATTGATACAAGGAAGTTGTGAGTGTGTTACCTTGAATTTTCTTGGCTAAGAAAAAGTCCCCAATTCACTCAAGAAATGCCTTCTCCTTTCCCTTAACTTTAGAACTCTCTCCTACCTCTTTTACTAAACAATATTAAAAAAATGAATTACTAACTCAACTACATGATCAAAACAAATTAAATACACCCCATATAACTCAAATACACCCAAAATGAGATAAATACCCATAGATTCTTATAAACCCCACAAGACTCATTTTGGAATCTATGGTTAAAAACTTGCAATATGGAGCTTGATTTAAAGCTCGAAGGATGACGATTCATAACTTGACTTAACCAAATAGAATTAAAATGTTTGAACAACTTGATCTTGGAAAGGAAGAAGGAGAGAAAATGATGGAAGGAAGCAGAAGAAAGTTTTATGGGATACTTGGGGGAGTAGGTTCACGTAAAAACCATAAAATAAGGGGGAAGGGGAGTTTTCAACTTTCAAATAAAAATGGGAAATTTTTACTTTTAGTCCTTGTACTTTCCAATTCATAAAATTATCATCACCCTTCATAATTCTTTTGGGCCCAAATCATGCCCAAATTTCAAAAAATTGGTCCAAGCTATTTTAATAACTTCTTTTAGCTCTAAAAATGGGTCTCGGTTAGCCCAAACTACTAACCCGGGTTTCGGGGTGTTACAATATATATATAGAGGCTAAGATCCAATTACATAGTGTAAAACTAACTTTTACACCTTTTTAGTATGGGTGTTCATTAATAGGTTAAAACTGATTAAATCGACTGAACAAAAAAAATTCCTGTTAACCGATCGGTTAATTTTATATTCGGTCGGTTAACAGTTAATAATTTTTTCAAAGCTCGCTTATCAGTTAATTCAATTCAAAATCGATTAATTAATCGACCGAATTAACCGAATTGATCGGCCAAATTAACTGAAAATATAGTTTAATTCGATCTATTTAACTGATTTTTGTTTGATTCAATTAATTTTCTTTTTGAAACATTTTGCTTCAGTTAATGGTTAAAGGGAACAAATTTCATTTAATGATTTTAGGTCAGTTCGATTTGGTCGTTTAATTGAACTGACCGATTAAACACCTTACTTTTTAAGATTATTGGATGAGAGAAAATCAAAGGCTGAGTTTAATATTAAGAAACGATAATATATTCACTAAAAAATAAGGAGTTAATCTTAGACTTTAATTTCTTATCATCCAACGATTCTAAAAGAGTGTAAAACTTTTAGTTTTATGCTAGGTGTAAGTGGATCCTATTCCTATATATAGATATAGTTAATTATATTTTTAAATATTAATAATAATTACAAATAGAACGACATATATAATTTAATCAAATATAAATTCAGCGTCTATAAAAATGATTTTAATTATTTTATTTATAGATTATAAAAATATATTTCAATTATATTTAATTAATTTATGACATGAACTTAGTTAGATGTTTAATAACAATAAATATAGACAATATTATCTATTATTTATACCAAATATTCGGTATTTATCTTTTAACTAAATTAATATTTAATTAACGGTGACATCAGAACCTAATAATAGTATGATTATAAATTTATAAATCCAAAATTAATTGCCAAAAACTTGAGGAAACAAGCGTTTATAGTTTGATGTTAGCATTTCAAGGATCTTGGATTCAAGTTCTTCTCCCCTAAGTTTGAAATATAAACCTTAAAATTCAATAAGAAAATATATTATTAGAGCTATAAATAATGTTAAACATATAGTGTTTTAGATTGGAGTTATTTTTTCACGAATTAAGTTAACTCGATTAAATGGATTGTTGTCATTCTTAGAGATTTCAAGTTTAAACATTAAATAGTTATCATTCTTAGAGATTCCAGGTTTAAACATTAAAGACTGCAAGGGTGATGACTGACGAACTTTCATTGTTAAATTGTTGAGAATATTTAAAACATATACATCACCCTATATTAAAACAAAGATTAGAAGTATTTTTATTTGAGTTAAAAAGTAATATTTAAAGAAAATAATTAGTTAGATTTGTTGGATAAAATACTAGATTACGGGTTTAAATCTTGACATTGTAAATGGAAAAAAATTAGGTTGGGAGAGTTATCCACTACTAGAAAAAAAAACCCTTTAATGACACGCATTGCGTATCATCTGTGGGTGCAATGACACACAAATTCATGTCATTGAAGCCACCAACATGAATATCAGATGACGCGCAATTGTGTGTCATAAATCTATGACGCGCATTTATGACACACATTTATGACTCACATTTATGACTCGCATTTATGACGCGCATTGAGCGTCATTGAAGCCCCCGTCATAAATGAAGATGAAACACATTTGTGTGTCATAAATTTATGACACGCATGTATAACTTACATTGTGTGTCATTGAAGCTCCCGTCATAAATGAAGATGACACACATTTGTATGAATTACATTCGTGTGTCGTGATTGTATTTTTTAAATTATATATATATATATAAGCAATCCATTTGTATACAATATATTCACACTACAAACAATTTACAATAAACGATTAGTCAAAGAAAACAAAAAAAATACGACATTGAGAAAAAACATATAACCATTATTATAAGTTAATAAACAAACACTGAAAGTTACAAATCTCCTTAAATGAATTCAACAATAGTCCTAGTTCACATAAAATTAGTTACTGCTCCATGCTCGAATTAGCCATGAGTTGTACTATCTATGTTGCACAAAGAAGAATTGAAACCAAAGCCTATGTCTCTCCACCAAATGCATCTAATGTCTAGGTAAGTAGCACTGACTTTATCTTGTAGCAAATGCTAGTTTAAACCCACAGTACTGCAACTTTATTTCCCTGCAACCCTCAGTTACAACAACTGCCCACATGGTGACTACAGTAAAAACACCTAATACAACATCTAGATAAAAGCCACAAATATATGCAAATAGGTAGTGTTGCCATACCTGTATTGACAAAAAAAAATGAGGATGCTTAGAATATGCAAAAACAATATCAACAAAAGGTAAGCAAAATAAAACAAAGTGTCAAAATTTTGCACAGCCAGTACATAATAAGCTCCATATCGTATAAGCAATTTGCAGCCTATAGCCAATATTTCTAAAAGAAACTAGTAAATGGATAAAATATAGTGATTAATGTACATATTAACAAATTATCAAACATAATCGAGTCCAGCAAGTTGATCTTGAGTGTCTCGAGTGAATTACAAGAAGGGTTCAAGCATGAAAAATGAAGCTCAGTCAAGCTCAATACAAATTTAAAGTCTCAAGATTTCTTATAAAGCCGACTTTGAGCTTGGCGATGTATTAGTTAGACTCAGCTCAATTATATCCCTAATCATAGCACACATGAATAATTGACTAAACAACCTTTTTTCTTATATAGTAGTCAAAGCTCCCATATTTTGTGTATTATTAGTTTCACAACTTTTTTATATACTAGTCATTCCTTTCAGTGAGATAAAGCTAAAGTAGAAAGGGTGAATATCAATTTAATCTGTATACACATTATATGATATCATCACGTTTTCATCTACAAAGGGAGTACTTTTGAACATCTTTATATTGAATTTACTTATTATTAGCTTTATAATATATGCTATTATAATATATATTATGATAAGAATATTAGTTAAAATAACTTAGTATGAATTCATATTATACATTGTTATTTTAATATGTTAAACATGTTAGGATAGCTTTATTATCATATTAAGCATGATTATTATATATACATCAAGGCAGCATACTTATAATGCATTTCATTAGTTTATTTGCATTCATATTAACTCTTAGGCTTTATACATTATCTTACACATATTAGGAGATGATGTACTTAGCTCATGACCATCATACTTAGCTCACATTACCATAAACAAACATGGCAGCAAGGTATTTAGCTCGTTTTAGCTCAATATCATGAACTTACCTTGTTTCCTTGCACATATAGGTACAATGGAGTATGATGCACGTTGAGGTAGCTTGGTGAACGATTTGGAAGTCACATACAGCTCACAAACAGCTCACAAAGTACAAGGCATCTCATGGAATGCTAAGGGAAGCTCGATTCAGCTGGAGAAGCTTCAGGCTAGCTAAACTTAGCTAGTTGGACTATTTGAAGCTGAGTTGCTAAAAGTGATGACAAAGGTAGCTGAATGTAGCTGAACATGCTGTTATGGAGCTCAAAAGGACTCGGCTAGGAAGATCATTCATAAACAGCCCCATTCTTGCTAGCTAGCTCAACACTCAAGCTAGCTTGGAAGGAGACACCTGCACGCCCAAGATGGAGCACATGACCAGCCATCATTCTATGCGCAAGGCTACACCACAAGCATCCTAGAGAGGCCATGTGCACGCCTTGTGACCAGACCACCATGTGATAGGCGTGTGACTTCATTTAGGTGCCAAGATGAAGAGTCCTCTTACCATTCGGCCAAGCACTCCTTTCTCTCTAATTTGGCGCCAACTTGAAGGGGTACAAGCACTATTCGGCCAAAGGATATTTTCTTCCATTTAAACCGAACCATCCTCTATTTGTAATTAAATTATGTCATTTTATAGAGGCACAAGGGCTGGCCGAAACCTCTTGTAACCATTCGGCCATATCCTTCCATTTCCTATAAATAGGAAAGCATATTTCATTTGTAACTAGACCTTTTTTTATTCAATTAAAGTGAGATTATTCTCTTCTTAAGTCATGGTGACTTTTTTTATCGACTTATCAAGTATTTTATACTTGTGGCGTCAACCCCTTTTCTTTCATCTTGATACTTCTGGTTCCTAGTTCATATAACTAGTGGGTCAAAGTACTTAATACCATCCCTTGAAGAAACAATATAAAGATTGGGTCTCTGCTCTATATAGCATTGGTTCTTCTTTGAGATTTCTTCAAGATACTATCCTCACAACCATCCTTTTATTTCATCACCATAACCATAGCTTTATCAACTATCTTCCGCTTCCATTACTCATTATTTAAATAGCCTACCAATTTACCCATACGTCTACCACCCTTAACCATTCTATTTTGAGCCATTCACTTTGCAGGTTGTTTTGCTTCCTTCCTAGATCCACAATCATTTGAAAAGGTACAAGTACCTTACATCAAGCGGTAATCAGAGCTTTGGTGGAAGAAGCAACGTGCAACAACAACAAAAAGAAAAATACAAAAAGAAGTGCAAAAGTGAAGTGCAAAGTCAAAAAGAAAAAAAAAATCAGCAAAGAAAATTGAAGGACTCAAAAGTCAAAGCACTCAAAAAGAAGAAAAAGCAAAGAAAAGAAAGAAAAGTTGGAAGCACTCATCAACAATTCTCATCACCAAGCATTTTCAAGTAACCCTTGAAAATTGATTGTGGTGATAGAAGGTTGTGAAGTGACTTGTGTAAGTAACCCTTTCATTCTCTTCTTTCTAATTTCTAAGCCACCTTTTCAATTATATTTGTTTTCCATTCCTACTAACCATTTGCAGCCGACGCCAAACAAGTGAAATTACTCGATATAGTCTTGAGTAAAAGTTCATTAGAACTTGAGATAAGAGAATTGAGTAAAAGCCATTAAAGTCTTAGAGTGCAAACACGAGCGGATTGAGTGACATCAAGTTTTCTTGGAGTGACTCGTGAGGCTTTGTGAGAGTATATTCTGGTAAGGTCTTTTTACACATCTTATTCTTTTCTTATTTATTAACCATGTCTCGGAGTTTAGGACAATCCCCAGAAAGAGATTCCCCTAATTTGCAGACTCAAGCCGTTATGCGTGAAATGGCAAGATTGCTGAAATTAGAATTGGAACCTTTGCAAGATCGTCTGGATCAATTAGAAGTATCTCTAGGCAATCGGAGAGTAAATCGCCCTAGAATGGAAGAATACTTAGAAGAGGAAGAGACTGAAGTAACATCAGTAGCAAGGAGAGATGTTCATCGAAATCAAAATGACAACTTCAGCAACATTAAAGTGACTATTCCTCCATTTCAAGGACGAACTGATCCAGAAGCATATCTTGATTGGGTAATAAAAATTGAACACATTTTTGAATGCCAAAACTATACGGAGCAAAAGAAGGTTAGACTTGCTGCTATGGAATTCGTTGACTATGCCTTAGTTTGGTGGGATCAGTTGGTAAGTTCAAGAAGACGAAATGGTGAACGCCCCATCACAACTTGGGAAGAAATGAAGGCTATTATGAGAAAAAGGTTTGTTCCTAATCACTATCACCGAGATCTCTATCATAAGTTACAAAATCTGAAACAAAGAAGCAAGAACGTTGAAGATTATTTCAAGGAGATGGAGATTGCCATGATCCGAGCCAATGTAGATGAAGACAGAGAAGCAACAATGGCAAGGTTCTTATCTGGTCTAAATATTGATATTGCTAACGTTGTTGAACTTCAGCATTATGTAGAAATTGAAGAGATGGTGCATGTGGCCATGAAAATTGAAAGACAACTCAAAAGGAAATCATACACTAGGAGCAGTCCAAATTCGGCCACCAAATGGAAGCAAGAACCTATTACCTTCCGGAAACAAACTCCAATCCAACTAAAGGAACGCGCAGAGATACCCAAATCTGCACAAATGGGCGAATCTAGCAAGGGTAAAGAAAAGCAAACCAGCACTTTCGAGAGATCAAGAGACATCAAATGTTTCAAGTGTTTTGGAAAAGGACATGTTGCTAGTCAATGTCCCAACCGAAATGCCATGATGGTACTTGACAATGGAGATATTGTATCAGATTCTGATGAGCCTATTTTTGACGAGGAACCTGAAATAATACAAGACGAAGAAACGGAAGAAAATGTAGATCATGGTGAAATGCTTGTTTCAAAGAGGTGCCTACAATCACAAACATCCCAAGTGGATATTCAAAGAAACAATATCTTTCATACAAGGTGCCATGTCAAGGATAAGGTTTGCACAATGATCATCGATGGAGGAAGTTGCACAAACGTAGCCAGCACTCTTATGATTGAAAAACTTGGATTGGCAACGTCAAAGCATCCTACTCCGTATAAACTCCAATGGCTCAATGAAGGAGGTGAGTTAAATGTTACCAAACAGGTTCTAATTCCTTTTTCAGTTGGTAGGTACAAGGACGAGGTGCTTTGTGACATTGTCCCTATGCATGCTAGCCACATTTTACTTGGGAGACCATGGCAGTATGATAAAAGGGCTATTCATGATTGTTTTCATAATCAATATACTTTTAAGCATGATGGACGCAAGGTGACCTTGATGCCTTTAACGCCCAAAGAAGTGCAACAAGATCAGTTGCATATGAGAAAGAGTGTACAAGCATGGCGCAAAGACAAAACCCCCAACAAAGAATGAAGAGGAACAAAACAAGAAACCAAACTTCTTCATAGAGAAACATGATGGTTCGATGCTGGAAAATGAAGGGTCTTCTATGAACAATGGTGATGTTTGGGACTTAAAGTCTTAACTCTTCACCAATGGGTTTAATCTTCAAAAGGTAAGTAACTTTTCATATGAAACCTTTTCTTTTCTCACTTTCCAGGACCAATCACGTAAAAGGTCACTTTCAAAAGGGATATCCTTAGATAAAGATCATTCCCAAAAGGTATCTGTTGGTAAATCATATTTCAAAGAAAGACCTAAAAGGAAATCTTACGAAAAGGTACCTAATGGAAGAACACAAACGTTCAAAGAATACTTTCTATTAGCAAAGAGGCGTGAAGCTATGCAAGGACAGAATGAACTCGATTTGAGGACAAATCGCCCTAAAGAAGGGGGGGATGATATCATCACGTTTTCATCTACAAAGGGAGTACTTTTGAACATCTTTATATTGAATTTACTTATTATTAGCTTTATAATATATGCTATTATAATATATATTATGATAAGAATATTAGTTAAAATAACTTAGTATGAATTCATATTATACATTGTTATTTTAATATGTTAAACATGTTAGGATAGCTTTATTATCATATTAAGCATGATTATTATATATATACATCAAGGCAGCATACTTATAATGCATTTCATTAGTTTATTTGCATTCATATTAACTCTTAGGCTTTATACATTATCTTACACATATTAGGAGATGATGTACTTAGCTCATGACCATCATACTTAGCTCACATTACCATAAACAAACATGGCAGCAAGGTATTTAGCTCGTTTTAGCTCAATATCATGAACTTACCTTGTTTCCTTGCACATATAGGTACAATGGAGTATGATGCACGTTGAGGTAGCTTGGTGAACGATTTGGAAGTCACATACAGCTCACAAACAGCTCACAAAGTACAAGGCAGCTCATGGAATGCTAAGGGAAGCTCGATTCAGCTGGAGAAGCTTCAGGCTAGCTAAACTTAGCTAGTTGGACTATTTGAATCTGAGTTGCTAAAAGTGATGACAAAGGTAGCTGAATGTAGCTGAACATGCTGTTATGGAGCTCAAAAGGACTCGGCTAGGAAGATCATTCATAAACAGCCCCATTCTTGCTAGCTAGCTCAACACTCAAGCTAGCTTGGAAGGACACACCTGCACGCCCAAGATGGAGCACATGACCAGCCATCATTCTATGCGCAAGGCTACACAACAAGCATCCTAGAGAGGCCATGTGCACGCCTTGTGACCAGACCACCATGTGATAGGCGTGTGACTTCATTTAGGCGCCAAGATGAAGAGTCCTCTTACCATTCGGCCAAGCACTCCTTTCTCTCTAATTTGGCGCCAACTTGAAGGGGTACAAGCACTATTCGGCCAAAGGATATTTTCTTCCATTTAAACCGAACCATCCTCTCTATTTTTAATTAAATTATGTCATTTTATAGAGGCACAAGGGCTGGCCGAAACCTCTTGTAACCATTCGGCCATATCCTTCCATTTCCTATAAATAGGAAAGCATATTTCATTTGTAACTAGACCTTTTTTTATTCAATTAAAGTGAGATTATTCTCTTCTTAAGTCCTGGTGACTTTTTTTATCGACTTATCAAGTATTTTATACTTGTGGCGTCAACCCCTTTTCTTTCATCTTGATACTTCTGGTTCCTAGTTCATATAACTAGTGGGTCAAAGTACTTAATACCATCCCTTGAAGAAACAATATAAAGATTGGATCTCTGCTCTATATAGCATTGGTTCTTCTTTGAGATTTCTTCAAGATACTATCCTCACAACCATCCTTTTATTTCATCACCATAACCATAGCTTTATCAACTATCTTCCGCTTCCATTACTCATTATTTAAATAGCCTACCAATTTACCCATACGTCTACCACCCTTAACCATTCTATTTTGAGCCATTCACTTTGCAGGTTGTTTTGCTTCCTTCCTAGATCCACAATCATTTGAAAAGGTACAAGTACCTTACATCATTATATGTACAAAACAAAGTGGAACACCATCATAAAACTTCTAGCAGTAGAATATGGCTTCACAAAAATTCAAATTTTAAAGTATTATGAAATCTTAGTTTAGTCAAAAATTTGAGTGCTCGCCCGAGGTACAATACCATCTACAACTTTCTATAAAAGAGATTCCATGTGTTCAGCATGTTCACTCAGAAAACAAAAATGATTCCACAAAGTTAGGGATATATCTGAAAATTTTTCAAGTGCGACTACGATGTCACCGATAAGTGGACGGAAGTTGGCTTCTTCATTGAGACACATGGCAGTAATTGCAATTGCATAGTTCAAGCAACGGTGAGGATAACATCCCCGAATTAGAGGATCGACCAGTAGGCTAAACTTCTTCTGGTCTTTTAGATACGTACGGGACTGCAACACGAAAAAAATAAATTAATGATTATAAAACCAAAGAAAAGAAGGAGCATAACAATCAGCCAAGCAAAGCACATGTCACAATGGATGGCGTGAGAGAAAGAACATAAACAAATAAACCGAAGGCTAATTTACCCATGAAACCAAGTTATGCTCTCCATGCTTCTTAGTAGTATCAATCGCCTTCCGTCCGGTTATCAACTCCAATAGGACCACACCAAAACAATATATGTCAGATTTAAGAGTTAATTTCCCACTCATGGCATACTCTGGAGCACAATACCCGTAGGTTCCCATCACCCTTGTTGAAACATGAGTTTTGTCACCCACGGGTTCCAATTTTGCTAAGCCGAAGTCCGAGAGTTTTGGGTTGAAATCATTATTAAGCAAAATATTTGCAGACTTTAAGTCATGATAGATGACAGGTGGGTTGACCTTGCAATTTAGATATTCAATTCCTCGAGCAGCACCAACGGAAATCTTTATACAATTATTCCAACTCAGAGGCTCTTGTCCTGGTTCTAAATCTGCGGAAACGAATTTGATCAAGGACATATGAGGAAACATAATAACAATCAGAAGAAAGATTATTGCTTTCACACGTATCTACAACAGTCTTTTTGCATACCAAAACGGTCTGATTAAAACCTACATGAAATCATACAAATAAAGGTAGTAAAATGACCAAGCATCCAAGTGAGAGGACAAGGTAATATACATCCTGTTTGGGTCGAATTTTTAAACATTTGCATTCGCAAGTGCTAGGCTAATTCAATAATGAATATGAACACTCTACAGAAAGCAAAAAGAGACTGTTTATCAGCTTAATGGATGATGATCATGCGATGCAATGCAAAGGAAAAATTCTAAGGATATTCTTCCAGCTTTGGATGTTATGAACTCTTGCTTCAAGATGAATATCGAAATTAGTTGTCTTTAATTCATGTAATAAGAGGAAAATTCATGGAACAAAAAGGGTGAAATGCCTGAACAAATCATGGCAGCTTTACACATAATGCCGACAAATTAATGAAAATATCAGCGAAACAAACAGTATTAGTTGATTTGAAATTGAATTTCTCCTCACATGGCTCCAAAAACAACAGGAAAGTCCTCACATGAGAACTAGAATTATGCATTATTAAAGTAGAGCAGACACAAGCAAAAGTCCTACAAACAGTAGATAATGTCGAAGAACAAGAATGCCATTCGTAATCGAATTCTTAATTAATTGAAATTACCGAAAAGATGATCTTCCAAACTGCCCATCGGTATGTATTCGTAAACCAAGAGCCTCTGATCCCCGACCGTGCAATAACCAATCAAGGTGACCAGATTAACATGGAGTAATAGGCTCAGCATAAGAACCTCAACAATGAATTCCTGATAGCCCTGAAGACGGTCATGATTAAGTTGTTTCACTGCGACGATCTGGTCGGATAGGATAACATATTAGATCGAACTCACACTTCGAAAGTTACACAATAAGTGATATAGACAACTGATGCAGGAAATATGACAAAACCTATACATGAAATTAAAAAGAAAAGCAGAAAATATACCTCCCCCTTTCCAATCGACCTTTGGAAACTCTTCCGAATCATCCTTCCCCAAGCAAATTGGTTTCCATGAAATTCCTTGTTGCCGTTGCTAACTCCCGGAATGTGAAACTACGCGCCCCATTGCATTTGGAGCCATGTCCCTGATCACTTCATTTTTTTTGCTTTGTTAAAAAAATTTCGAACAAACTAATAATCAAATCCACTGGGAAAGATAAAGTTTCCTGAGAAATTTGGTGTTAGAATCCTTAACATTACCTTCTAGAATTGCCTTTCTTCTCGTAGCGCAGGAAACTGGTTACAAAAACGAAGAACAAGTTAATAGATAAGCAAGATTGTACGGAAAAGTAATGAGAAAAAGGGAAATAAAAAGGGAACGTGAGGAATAAGCGAAATGGCGAGAAGTGGTTCGACTTCCATTGTCAATGTTGATCCTTGAATCTTTAGAACGAGGATTAAAGCAAGGGAAACAACTCATCTTCTTTCTGCTTATCTCCACAATGTTGCGGTTTTCCCCAAGCAAAGTCAGGACACCAAAGAATTTCCAGTATTCCGTTGAAATACCATCAAATTAAAAAGACGAGAAAGAGCACTGACCCCTTTGAAACGAGCCAATTGGTCCTCATTGACGCAGTGCAAAAGAGCATTTGAACTGATAGCAAAAACATGAGTTACTTTATCCGACAACTGAGTCTCGATCATAGCTCCCATTTGTACCAGCCTTTGCTTCCAAATCTACAATTCACCCAATAAACGATGTAACAAAAAATGTGGCAACTAAATGAGATAGTTAAAGCAACGGAGAATAGAGAACAGAGAGACCTGTTTTTTTGGGTTAAAAAAATGAAATACCTTCACACCGGAATTGGAAGCTCCAGAGATGGGGTTTTCATGGAGGTTTTTTCATGAGAAGCTTGCGTTTGAGAGGGTTGGAGGACGACGGACGAGGTGGCAAGGGTCACTTGATCTTGGCTGTTGCGGCGGGGGAGAGTTGTGAGTTTGGATCTGGCGGCGGAGCGTTCTCCTTAGATGGTTTTGGGTGCTTTCGTTTGGATTTTGGAGGGGTAGGGTTTGGGGAATAAGCATTATCCATCTGATATCTCAATATCGTGTTTCTTGGTAACATGAATGCAAAGAGAAAAAGGGAAACATAGGTTTAGTGTGAACTGATGATCGAGGGGAAGAAGCGGGAAAGGATGAAAATTATGGGGTAAATTAAAAGACGACTTTTACAGATGACACACAATTAAAAGTATACTCCGTGTTTTTGCAAATTTTTTGGATTATGACTATTAAATATGACACACATTATTGTAAGTCATAAATCGTTCATATTTAAGAAATATGACATTTTTTATGACACATTTTTTGCAAGTCATAAATTAGTGTGTCATCGTTCATGTGTCATTAAATGTATATTTTCTTGTAGTGATCATCATAATAGACCTCTACAATACCTCATACGATCAGTCAATCAATAAATTAAAACCCAATGATTATACAGAAAGAGTAATATTAAAAAATCTATTTTTTAATATTTGACTTTTAACCGAAGTATTTTTCGAATAAAATTATTTGTTGACCTCATTTATATCATCAAACTTTTAATATTTTTTTAAAAAATGTATAAAATATTACTCTTATCTATTCACTTTTTTTTACAACACTATAAATTTTAAACCAAACCATTCAAGAAACTACTTTTCAAAAGTAAACTAATCCTAAATTTAATACTAATTATCGTTAAATGGAATTGATATAGAGATAGGGAATATATAATATTAATTTTTTAGAATATAAATGTATATATAAACTGCCTTGAACATTTTAATTCCACCCTGTAATATAATTTAAACCGGTGTTTATATATTTAATTTTGGGCATGTTTCACTCATTGCACCACTTAAATTTTAGAACCAACTACTCGCTGTTCATGCCATTCTACGACTTAATCTGTGGCACAATGGACAAAACCAGTGATATGTTGAACGAAAGTTCACTGAAAAGGAAGGTCGAACCAGCCGATGTGGTGCATCTAACGCACTTCACCACGCCCAAATCCATATATCATCTTCGCCTTGGGTCTGCCTCCTTCGCCTCCAAACCCTACACATCATCAGCTTTCTACTCATGCCTCCTATGGCCTCTCACACTGTGTTCCGTACTACTTACATGGACTTTTGGTTCCACTTTCGTTGTTGAAAGAAACCGGCTTTATAAAGCCACACTACAGACATGGGCCATACCCAAGTATAATATCCAGGTCGGTGTTTGTTAAAATCATATCTAAAGTTACTTTTTTTATTCTATTTATGTTTTGATCGCTCACCTATTACTTAATATATGTTTGGGTCACTCGATTATTATTTTCTTTCCAAAATTATACTTAACATTACATTTTAATTATGTTTTGGTCATTTGTGGTTAAAAAATTAACGGTGATGCTGACATACCACTATGATATAATGTCACATAAGTATTAAAAAATTAAAAAAAAACCATCAATGTCATCTTTAATTTTTAACAACATGTGACTAAAATAGATCCAAAACGTAAATTTATGTATGATTTTGAAAAAAATAATAGTTAAATGATGAAACTAAGTAATAGGTAGGCGACCAAACAAGTAATTTACACTAAAATTTTTGTTTTGTTTCTTTGTCATCATAACATTGCTGCATGTTGTCTTGATTTGCAGTACCATTTAAAATGGCAAAAAGAAGCCATCAGTAAGTTGATTGAGGAAGCCATATTGGAGGCTGAGGAGAAGCTAGAACTGGCTGCTGAGGAGAAGCTAGAACTGGCTGCCGAGGAGGACGATGAGCACATCGAGAACAGCTGGGATAGTGCATGCACTTGAATGATGGGAGAAACATGAATGTGGTGACTCCATGTCAAATATTGACAAAGCTTAGGAAGCAAGTCTCAAGCATGGATTACAACCTCTAAGTGTCCCAACTCAATCAAAATCCTAAACATTTTATCTGTCAATCGAATAAGTATTCTAGTCCTCTAATAAGTAAAATAAAGGAGAGGACATTAGATTCCATGTAACTTTCAGGCCATATATTATGGACACCTATATTGCTTTATGGTTGGTTGTTTTAGTATATAGTATTGTTGGTTTTTCAAAATCATTCCTATTCAGAAATAGAATGAATAAGCAGTAACCTATAAATACTCATTCGGGCACCACTAATTTTGTGGATCCAATGCATAAATGTGGGGGTGGTTGAGCTTGAAGCAGTTGGTTACCTACCGAAGCATTAACAGTGGCTAGTTGGAACAAATTGATTTTTTTTATTACCCACTGAAGAAAAATATGCATATTCAGGAAGCAACCATGTGCTAGTGGTTAACAGACGTGATGATGTAAGGTGATCTACACGCTTTGGTGGAAGAGTGTAGATAGCCTTATTGTGTCTCGATCTAGGATTGACATGTACTGATGTCCTTGAATTATAAGCATGGGCTGCAATAAAGATAAGAAAGAAATACGATTAATATTGGAATAATAAATGGAAAAATAAGATAAATGATTAAATGAAAGAATATGGATAGAGATAGGTTCAGAATTGATGGTCTTGATGGATGAAGTTGATGGTGTTGATGATGAAATAGAGATGGTGGTGGTGTTGCATCTCAAGCACGCCAAAGAGGAAACAATGCTAGGAAGCACAATCCCGATATTCACAAACTTGCTTGAGGTGTGGTTGAAGTGTCTTCAACCCACTAGATATCAATCTAGGAATTTAAGAATCAAAATGGAAGGAATGACGCCACAAGTATATGAATTATACTTGCTCAATCAATAAAGCACAAAGAACTTTGAAGAGAAATTAACTCACAAGAGTATGTTTTATATAAGAGATGAGATGAGTACAAATGAAGGCAAACCACTCAATTTATAGGAAATGAGAGGGCTTGGTCGAATGGTTACATAGGGATTCGGCTAGGTACATGTCTCTATGGAAGTACATAATGATTCGTGATGAAAAGATAAGTCACTTGGCTTGATGATGGTTCGGCTAACCCTTCATAAAGGGGCTTAATATTTCGACCAAAGGGTGGGCAGACATCTTTCTTAGCCGAATGGTGCATGATTGTTTATCTTGGCACCAATTTTTCTCTCCTTGGCCGAATGGTGATGTGCCTCCTCTTGCTTGGCGCCAAAGCTCTTATGTGCAATGTATGTGGTGTGGCCGAATAGGCATAGAGCTCTATCTCATGTCCCTTGGTGATTTAAGCCTCCAATGGTTGCAATCTCTTCACCAACATGCTCCTAGATGAAAAGGCATCTTCATGGGCAGTATCATTCATGAAAGGTCAAAATGTTTGGAAAAGGTAACCCTTTATTTTTGAGCTACTTCGGGTGTGAATGAGCTGGAGGTGAGCTGGCCATAGGTGACTTGTAGCATGGTGAACGTTATGGCAGCTCCTTGTGAAAAGGTACCTCTTGAGGTGGTAACTATTCGCGAAAAGGTACGATTTCAAAATTTTTAACTTAGGACATATTTGAAGTGTCCTAAGTGGTGATGATGATGGTGCAGCTCCTCAGCTGAAATGAGGTCATCTAGTAGCTTAAATCTTCAGCTCAATCCAGCTATGAGCTCACGAGCCTTCTGACAACTTTTCACCAATGGGTCCTTATGATCGCCCAAGCGTTCCTATGTGAGTTTCCTTGCTGTTACATGCTCCATTTAGCTTCAATGTAGCTCCCAAGTGTTGGCCGAATATGCCTACATACATAACATAAGGAAATAAACTAAGTATATAAACTTATATAATGTGTATAATATAAGAATATGAACTATAGTATATAATAATAACTTATATCTCACATATTAATTAATAAGTTATTATCATAATAACTATAGATATAATAATATATATATGATAATAATTATATTATAACATATGAAATAAGCATATTTATGTATAAAGTTAGAAAGTATCTTCTCTTGTAAGGTTGGAATATCCATTGTAAACATGATGCTGAATTGGATCACATTATCCCCCCTTCTTTTAATCGATTTGTCCTTAAATCAAAAGATCTTCTTTCCTTGAGTCCTTCCATTCAATAAGCACCTTTATGAAAAGGTTCATATCCTTTGATGCCTTAGAAGTTCTTGATCTGAAAAGAAAGAAAACTTTCATTAGTAAAAATGTGATCAAACATAATTAAAGTTAAGAAATACTTCCTGTTAAATGAATGTTCAAAGTTCATGTATATTGAAGACATTTGGCCTTGAACATTTATGTCCTTTGTATCATTGAAGATCATGTCCCTTTGTCCTTCAATAGTCTTTCAATAGTCGTACCTCTTGGCTCTTGAAAAGCCACGTCCTTTAGTCCCCCAAATTGATGAATTATGTCTCTTGGATCATCTTGTAAATCAAAGGAAATTACTTCATTGTCAAGGTTAGAAAAATCTTTATCGTCCTTGTGTCTCGTCAATAAACATCTTTATAACAAGCACTTAGATGTATAAGAATGGTGATGTCCTATAGTTCATAAATCATGCCTCTTGGATGAGATCCTCCTTTGTCTTTCATAGTCGTACCTCTTGGCTCTTGAAAAGCCACGTCCTTTAGTCCCCCAATTGATGAATTATGTCTCTTGGATCATCTTGTAAATCAAAGGAAATTACTTCATTGTCAAGGTTAGAAAAATCTTTATCGTCCTTGTGTCTCGTCAATAAACATCTTTATAACAAGCACTTAGATGTATAAGCACTTGTATTTGGACTAGTTTCCTCCTGGTTTTCTTCGATTTTCCTTTCCTCATGGCCTCAACACTTGGTTTCATCTTAATTTGATCAATTTGGACTTGCTTAGGCATCAAAGGTGTTAGGATAATCTTCTTCCCTCCATGGTTGAACTAATATTGATTGGTAAAATAGTCATGGATGGTCCTCTTATCATATTGACATGACCTTCCAAGGAATAATTGGCTAACATGCATAGGGACAACATCACACATAACCTCGTCCTTGTGTTTCCCAATTGAAAAAGGAACCATCACTTTTTGGCTTCTTCCTCAACTTCTGTTGGCGGTGCTTCTTCTTCTTCGTGGTCAGATTCAATCTCACCATTTCCTAGTAGTAACATGGTGTTTCGGTTGGGACATTGTGTGGATACATGCCCTCTCCCAAGACATTTAAAGCACCAGATATCTCTTGATCGTTCAGGGGCTGGCTTCTTCCTCAACTTCTGTTGGCGGGCTTCTTCTTCTTCGTGGTCAGATTCAATCTCACCATTTCCTAGTAGTAACATGGTGTTTCGGTTGGGACATTGTGTGGATACATGCCCTCTCCCAAGACATTTAAAGCACCAGATATCTCTTGATCGTTCAGGGGCCTCTTTTTCTCGACTATCCTTGTTAAGTTATGGAGAACTTGATGATTCGACCTTTTCTTTAGTAGGAATAGGAGTAGACTTCTTCAAATTGTTAGGACTCCATCTTGAAGGTGTATGCATGGTAGTGCGAGAAATAGATCATCTCCGTAATTGCCTCTCTATTTTCATAGCCATTTACACCATTTCATCAATCTCTATGTAATGGTACAACTCCAATGTGTTGGCAATCTCGGGATTGAGTTCGGCAAGAAATATAGCCATGGTTGCTTCATGATCCTCCTCAATATTGACTCGGATCATTGCCACTTCCATCTCCTTATAGTAATCCGTCATACTTCGTTGGCCTTGTTTAAGGTTCTGTAATTTCTGAAACATGTCCAAGTGATAACGAGTAGGAATGAAATGTTTACACATGATACCTTTCATTTCAAACCATGTTGAGATTGGTCTTTCTCCATTCCTCCTCCAGGTAATAGTAAGTTGATCCCACCATATTAAAGCATAATCGACAAACTCCATGGCTGCCAATCTCACTTTCTTGAGTTCGGAATAGTTGTGGCAACTAAAAACATGTTCCACCTTGCTTTCCCATTCAAGATAGGCTTCAGGATCATTTTTCCCTTGGAATTGAGGAATTTTGATTTTGATGTTGCTCATATTATAATCAACATTGATACGCCTAGGTCCTTGTATCAATGCTGGTTCTTCTTCATCATAATGGTCTAGGACATCATTTACTGGAAGAGGTTGTTGCCTCCGAGGAGTATCATTGTTCTGAGCATGGGGTTGATCTTGTCTTTGGTCTAGTTTATCATGAAGAGCATCAAATTCTATTCGAAACATTCTCATCATTTCTCCAATCAATGCTTGCATTTGCAAGTTTGGTTGACCTGCATTTTCTTTAGGACTTTGAGACATGGTTAGTAAATAAATAAAAACAAAAGTAAACCTTACCAGCACACTTACAAAGCCTCTCAAGTTCAATCCAAAGAAATGATAAGATCACTCCACTCAACACTCATGTTTACTCTCGGGAATATAACTTGGCTTTTAACAATTCGCCTTCTGATCTCACTCTTTCAATTAGCCTTTTTCCACTCAATTTCTTTTACTAAGTCCTTTGAAGAACTTACTCAAGATTAGAACAAGTTAATTCTTTCCTTGTGTTCGTCGACTGCAAATAGGTTAGGGTTGAAAGGAATAGAAGAAATGGAAAGGTAGAAGAAAAGATTTAAGGTATTAAAAGAAAGAAATGGTTGAAGACAAAGAAAATGAAAGGATGAAAAAGGAAGAGGTGACTTACAATTCAAGAAACAACACTTACTGCAACCTTTCTCAAGAAACAATAAGGTTATCTTCTCTTAGTGTAGATGGCCTCTTTGATGTACTTGCAATGGTAGAGCACTTTCCTTGGCTTTGTTTTTTTTTTAATTTCTTATTTTTTCTGAATTTTCTTCTTTTTACCTTTTCTTTCTTTTTGTACTCCAATTTTGATGTAGAAGTCTTTTTCTTTTGCTTTGCACGCCAATGACACTTTTGTTGTCAATCTAACTATGCTCTAATTATCGACTGATGTAAGGTGATCTACACGCTTTGGTGGAAGAGAGTAGATAACCTTATTGCATCC